GGAGTAGAGTGATGTCCTGGCGCTATCTGATCATGGAAGTAATATCACAGCAGAAATCTAATTTTGAAGACTGGGGTGAAGATGGGCTCATGAAGCGTGGAGGGACTACCAGAGTGGATAAGGCCATGTTGATTTGATTATGTGGATGACATCCACGCGCGCATGAATTTTCGTCCGTTCCCAAAAAATAAAACATTTTCATCCATACTATAAATCGTAAAAACCAGCTGCAAAATGAACAAATACATGCTATAAATTGCAAAAAAAAAATTGGAAAACGACACTAATGTCGTAGAATGCCAACATCAATTCCGAAGGGAAGGAATAAAATGCTAAGAAATGAAAATTAAGAGTCTATTATTCGCCATACCATACTCTGGGTGTTTAATCATTTGTTCAACCGCCATATGCATATAGATTTCATAATGAAGTTAACTTTTTGCCAATCTTTTTTTTATTCGCACGCTCGCGCGCGAGATTTGGAATTCCCAGAGAATGTTATCCATATAATAAAATCAACATGGCCTGAGCTTTGATGAAAGGGCTGAAGAAGATCGAAGAAACGAACTGGAATTTTAAAAGAAAAAAAGTTGTTTGCGCCGTGCGACCTCTGAAGTTAGATCAAAGAAACACTGCATTACGAAACCAACCACTATACTCTGATAGTATGTGATGTAGTCACAAGCAATATACAAGATCAGCCTTTGTATTAAATTCATCCTCCCCGCTGGTTGCACGTGAGCAATCATGCATGTATACCTTCTTAGTTTGAGTTCCATTCAGCAGTGCGTATATCCAACATACTGCGCGAGAAACATCAGAATACATCTCTTCAAACTTCACAATCAGCCGTGACATGAAATTATATAAGCTAGTGTCTTGGGCGAAATGGAGCAAAATTCAGTAACCCACACTTCTTAATGGCAATGAACTAGAGTAGGGGGAATTAAGCTGACAAACTACGTTATATTGTGAATTCACAAAATCACATATCATTAAAACATAGGACTATTTATAAGAAGCGAGAAGAAGTTGGAATTGCACAAATTGTACATAGTAGTCCAACCCATTGGTATGTATAGTGTGCTCTCTGTAATTTTGTATTGTGTGATTCAAACATGACCTGTACTTAGCTTGTACGAGCATAAATGTACAATAAAGGTCTTTCATTCCTTCAGTAGGCACCGCCTCCAAAAAAAGTCACTCCCCCAGATAATGTAGTAGAAACATCAGTTACATCTATTGATCAGTCACTTACTTTTCACGTTATCATATTTGTGAGCTTTCTTGCAATTAGCCTTCGGGCATAAATAAAGTTTCAATAAAGCTTGATTGATTCTACAGCCACAGGAAATAAAAACTGCTTCGCACACGTAAAAGTGATCCCCAGAAAGCAGGACAGTAGGACAAAGCATTTTTGCCTGTACCATAACTCACGTCTTATCGATGCTGGCTTTATGCGTGGACAACATTAATGGATTATTGCACACAGTGGGGGATAAATCTAACAGCCAAGTAGGTCAACATCTTCTTCATAGTCCTACTAAAGAACACAGTGCATAGATCTTTTAAAATTTTATCTGATATGCATCTTTAGCATTTTAGCGAAAACTAGTGTACCAAACTTTACTTTAAAGCTGTATTAGGCAACATTAGGACGATACAAAAAGTCAATTTTCTTGTCATTAATTTCTTTACAAAGTAAGTTGATTTAAAAATCAACCTTACTCCATTGTAAATTTAATAGGCGTCATTCGGGAAGTGGAGGTACCAAAATATTATACTGTATGAATGTGTTTCAAAGCTGGGAACACAGTTGTCGTTGTTTACATTCTAGTATTTTGTGGTGGCACCACAAACTGAGTGCGCCTCGTTTGAGTTATGTTGAGCGCCAACTATACACATGTCAGAAATGTGACTTCGTTGCATAAATATGTTAAAAGTGGAAGTAAATTACAATTACACAAAGATATTTTCAATTTCTGTTGCACAAATGTTACATACAATGTTCCCTTAAGATCATGTACTGTGACAAAATCATATTATTTGGTCCACTTACTTCACCGTGTATAGAAGGAGAGCCCCAATCAATTTTGCCAAGCATTATAATGGAGCCAATGAGGTGGAATATACGTGGGGGACCGTTTCATCTAACGTACCAAATGAAAGGGATGGATTTTCGGATTGATATTTATTTGATGCACAGGAATTCAATCGTCCACATGGCGAAGTGATATCATCATTTTATAGCCTCGTCATCTATATGCAGATGATAGGAAAGCCAGGCATGCATTGAAACTCAAACCATGCCTAGATTTACCGCGGTCGTTCATCAGTATAATACGCTTAGGATATGTCAGAAACAGTTCTTTGCATCACTGTATGTCCTTAGGTATGTGTTGTGATCAGTCAAGCTAGTCTAGGGAACTCTAAATAGCTTTTTCCGTCTAAAACCTTAATCCAATCTGACTACACACACGAAAGTTTCGTAAAAAAAACTTTTTTTAGAAATAGACACTCTTGTTAATACCAATTTGTCTGTAACCGGTTGGTCATTAATTATCCTGATGAAGGCGACAGTGGTCGCTGAAAGTTTGATCTCTGTTTAATTTTTGTGTTGGAATTAAGTTCAACATTTTACCAGAAATGGCCCTGTCTACTATTGTCAAAAAGGTAGACAATGTAATTAATAGAAATTTATTCTTTTTCTTTTCATTCAGGCTTTTATCATTCTATGTTGGTTGATAACGTTTAGAAGTGAATTTTGATGTCTGCATCGATTCTTTCGGCAAGTAGAATTCCACAGACCATGTTATGGAATGCTGTAGAACACGCCACAATGAGTTTCACTGACAGACTCCATCCCCGAGGCTGTCTAATCTTCCGTACAGACCGTTACACGACAGTTTCTGTTAGCTGTGATGTCTGTATGGATTGTTTCAGCATACACAATTCCACAGACCGTGTTGTGATGAATTGTATGACATACGGAATGCTGTAGAAGTACACACCACACCGTATTCCAGGCAGAACCCATCCCCGAAGCTGTCTAATCTTCCGTACAGACCGTTACACGACCGGTTCTGTTAACTGTGATGTCTGTATGGATTGTTTCAGCATGGACAATTCCACAGACCGTGTTATGGCGAATCGTATGCCGTACAGACTGCTGTAGTACACGGCGCAATGAGTTTCACAGACAGATGAACCCATCCCCGAGGCTGTCTAATCTTCCGCACAACCCGTTACACGACAGATTCTGTTGACTGTGATATCTGTATGGATTTTGGTAGCACGTAGAATTCTACAGACCGTGTTATGGTGAATCGTGTGGCGTACATACAGAATACTGTTGTACACTGTGTAATGAGTTTTACAGACAGAAGAACCCATCCCCAGGCTGTTAAATGTGATGTCTGTATGTATTCTTTCAGCACGTAGAATTCCAAAGACCGTGTTTTGGTACATGATGAATTGTATGACATACGGAATGCTGTAGAAGAACACACCGCAACGTATTCCAGGCAGAATCCATCCCCAAGGCTGTCTAATCTTCCGTACAGACCGTTACACGACAGATTCTGTCAACTGTGATGTTTGTGTGGATTCTTTTAGCACGTAGAATTGCACAGACCGTGTTATGGTGAATCCTATGGCGTACGGAATGCTGTTGTACACGGTACAATGAGTTTTACAGACAGAAGAACCCATCCCCAGGATGTTAAATGTGATGTCTGTATGTCTTCTTTCAGCACGTAGAATTCCACAGACCGTGTTTTGGTACATGGTGAATTGTATGACATACGGAATGCTGTAGAAGTACACACTGTACCGTATTCCAGACAAGCTCCATCCCCAGACTTTCTAATCTCCCGTACAGACCGTTTCTGTCGAGTGGAGCACATTCTAGATCCCCCTTGTGTACTGGGTAATGGGCAGGATTACGTGGATATTGTATACCTAGATGATCACAGTGTGGTTTCCAATAATGGCTTAACGGGAGACCCACATGTACAGCTCTGAGTGATGGTGCGGTCACGCCGGCCCTGGTTTGACACCGGCCCTGTCATTGGTGCTGAACGCTATCACAACTAGTGTTAGTGTAGCTATGGTCAAATGTGACCCCGCCATAACTGTGGTTTGACACCGGCCCTGTCCTTGGTGCTGAACGCTATCACAACAAGTGTTAGTGTAGCTATGGTCAAATGTGACCCCGCCATAACTGTGGTTTGACATCGACCCTGTCCTTGGTGCTGAACGCTATCACAACAAGTGTTAGTGTAGCTATGGTCAAATGTATCCCCGCCATAACTGTGGTTTGACACCGGCCCTGTCCTTGGTGCTGAACGCTATCACAAGTGTAGTGTATCTATGGTTGAATGTGACCCCGCCATAACTGTGGTTTGACACCGGCCCTGTCCTTGGTGCTGAACGCTATCACAACAAGTGCTAGTGTAGCTATGGTCAAATGTAACCCCGCCATAACTGTGGTTTGACACCGGCCCTGTCCTTGGTGCTGAACGCTATCACAAGTGTAGTGTATCTATGGTTGAATGTGACCCCGCCATAACTGTGGTTTGACACCGGCCCTGTCCTTGGTGCTGAACGCTATCACAACAAGTGGTTTGACATCGGACCTGTCCTTGGTGCTGAAAGCCTTCAGAGCAAGTGTTACGGCGTGGTCACATTAGTCGTGGGTCGTCCTAAGTCAAAATCCCTCCTGCTATAAAATTGCAACATGATGTAACCCAACACTAGTTACCATAGTAACAGACAGTCTGGTTCAGGTCATTGACCTTTTTGGTTTGGAGAAGAAGAAGAAGAAACGTGGCAAAAACAATATGTTTCCTTCGGTAAACATAATGAAAAGAGAATGTTCTGGCCTTTCGATCGTACGACGATTGCACCACATATGTGACCAGGATCTCACTACCAGGGTGACGTTAGTGCACGTACCATGTGTATGATCTGTGTCACTACGGTGACGTTAGTGTACGTACCATGTCTATGATCTGCGCCAGCGCCACGCCGAACGTGACAGTGATGGGCCGTGACGTGTTCCTGACAGGCCGGATGGAGGACGTGTAGTTCTGGAACAGGTCCGATAACAACTTCCGGGCGAACTCACCAGACGCGCTGTCCACCCCTGTAGAACAAGGAAAAGAAACATACAAACATACTTGTGACTCATTTGCATCAACCCTTTTTTGACTATGTTTAACTTTTGTTTCCTTTTGGACTATCACAAATTTGTCTTCGCTTCATTTGTGTATCAATCAATAGCGTTTGTAACCCTGCTGAATTTGATAGCTCTCCAGCGTAACTGACAAAAGGTAGTGGATGCTACATGGAACGTCTCACCGTTTCCAAAATCATATATATCCTGTTGCTTGAGTAACTGTTTTGGCGTTCCTTATTACCTGGATGTCTAAACTTCACCAACGTATTGTGTACAAATATTTTCCTGGCTTGGTTTAACAACAAACCTCCGGGAAGTATTTAGAGTTTTGGTGAATCTGTTGACAAAACAAGGAGGATGGATGATCTGACGTTCTTGACCTAGGATAGAAACCATGCAGCCTGAGAGCTTGTTGTGACAAGCCCCGAGTGGGTATAACTCCTAGTAACTGTGTGAGTGGACTCATGTCCTCCCAGCCTGCGGGGAGACCATCATTAATTCCAACTTGACCTTAAGGTCAATCTGCGGTTACAAAATTCCCCTTCCTGTTTTCACATACCGGCGAACACACAACACAAGAAAACACTGAAAGATGGACAGACAAACGGGTTTATACGGACACACGGAGGGTACGTAGTTAGTACGTAGATGTGCAATGTACTAACGTACATGTAACTGTATAGCTGATGCTGTTGGGCGTTTTAATGCGAACTTTCAAAGATTTAAAACCATGTCCACCTCTTGATAGGCGGCATGTGTAAGGTAGAGACATGCGTGCAAGACTGATAAGTGTTGTTATAGGTGATAACTTCCTTATATCCCATCTTCCTGGAACACTGCCTACCGCCTCTAACACTAACAACCTGTTTTGACAGTTATTGATGTTGATATCTACCAACTGTATGTGTGATTGATGCTTTACCCTACATTGTGTGAAAGTTTTGTACCTAAAAAAAGACGACCATATAAATCGCTGTCTTTGCGATGCTCTACTTTACGGCCAGCCATCGTTGCAGTCGCGGTTTTAACATTCTTTTTTAACCGCCTGCCAGCCTTATGTAGCCGCGCTGCTAAATCTCAGTCTCATACACGGTCGTTGCCATTTGAAACGGTCGATGCTATTTAGCAGAACGACAAACTTGAAGTTTTCTAGAACGCTCCGTCACAACTGTGAAGTTTCGTGGCGTAGAAGATTAGGATTCGTGGGGGCGCGTGGCGTAACGGCAGAGTGCTCGACTCGGAACTAAGAGGTCCCGGGTTCGAGTCCTGACTTTCTACCGTCCTTGTGCCCTTGGGAAAGACACTTTATACAACTTTCCTCACTTCGCTCAGGTAAAAATGAGTATTGTATTGTCCCCTGTACTGGTGGATGCATTAATATAAGTTGAAAAAACTTGAGTGTGTCCCCACAACGTCTTGTGATTACATGTTAGAATATATAAAAAAATTATTAGGATTTTAGAATCCGCCATTTGACCCTTGTTGTCTTTGTTTGAATCCGAGCATGAGTTCTGTCCTTTTTCAGTAATAATATTTATTTTTCACAATCCTGTCGTAAATTTGCAGGTAGAATATTGCTTTCTATACGTTCTGAATGTTTTGGGGCTTTAAAAAGTTATAATATGCTCGGATATGATATCGACCATTCAGCGAAATGGCATCGACCGTTTCAAATGGCACCGACCCTTCGTCAGACGAAAACGAACAGTGGCACTGCATAACTGTTACTAATGCGTGGTGAGACCATCGCTGGTGCATTGCGTCAAAATGATGGAGCGTTTACTCGTCAAGTGTTGATCCACACGAGTTATTATACTTAAGAAGGTGTGTTAACAAGGATATCAATAAGGTCCAAATCAGCTTTGTTCACTGCCAAGGACTGGGAATAAATTATCGCCTTTCCAATTTAGTCCCATAGTCGGACGCATTCGTCAAACGTCAGAGCCAGTTGTACTGTTTGTGCTACATTGAGTGGAACCTGAAACGACGTCAGCCAATTTAGCTTGGTGTCCTGGGTCCGTGGTCTGTACTGCATCTCTTTGTTGTTGCTTTTTAATGGAGTAGTTCAATGCAAGGCCTATGCGACCACTTCTCGGCATTGAACTAGAAAGATGAGAGAACGAAACATGGCTATGTAAAAAGATGGCGGTGAACGTTACGTTTGATTTGAAAGCCTGTAGATTGTAGGTTGGTGGGAAACATTTGTCAGGGAGGGAATTCCAAAGCTTGGCCGTACGGGGAAAGAAACTGTCACTGTCAAAAAGATTTCGAACAAGGAATTTGGATGGTGAAGTTGTGTGAGCTAGTGGAGAACCTAGTGGAACGCTTAAAAGTTCTGAGTGGTGGAACTAGTTGGGTGAGTTCTGCAGAGCAATGACCGCCCACTCCCCTAGACAGTCAGACACTATTTCTGCCGGATTCTACTATCCTAACCCCCCTAGGAAGGCCTGGTGGAGGCTTTGTACCCCCTGTCTGCACTAGACACCGTATTTCTCACGTAAGAAATATATCATGATGGATAGAAAGTTTTCTCTGTTTTGAAACCACAGACGAAACCGCTCTCACGGTGCGTGAACCTTGTCAGCGGAAAATTGGAAAAACATCTCACCAGAGACGGGCGGGGATGTGCATGATTAATGTACGCCGTTTTCATTCCATTCTCATGATATTCATATCAACAATGCGCGGATGCCGGAATTAGAACCAATAATATTCAGACGACGATAAAAAGATAATGAAAACCGCGACTGCAATTTGAAGAACTGTCTGTTGAAATGCCTCACCTAGCTCTTGATTAGATTATCTAATCAAAGGCGTAAGGGTCCAGGAATCAGGCCAACTTTTGTAGTTTATCACAATCCATACTTAGAGTCTCTCGGGTATCGTATCGTCCCTATGAACTACATTTAGGCCACACCGAATTTTATGGATAACATCCTCTGAAGACCCCCAAACTAGTGCGCGCGGGCGAATAAAAAGATTCCGGCCAAAAATTAAAATGCTGCTAAACCACAGGAATACAAAGCGGGTATTGTGAATTTACCGCAGTACATAGCGACATATGCGACAATCCGGCACATGCTGGCTTTTTGCGGAATCTATGAATTGGCACTGTACGTATGTACTGAGTTCTTGAGTCGTGCAGCTTGGCAGCCTGGGTGCCGTCCTCCAAAGTTACCACAGGCTCCGTATTGTCACCAGCTACCATAGACTACCCAGGCCTAGAGCCAGGCCAGAGCCTCGGAGGGAGGACGTATAATCTTTTTTTTGGTGAAAATCAATGCGCGCGTGGATGTCATCCATAAAATTAAATCGGTGTGGCCTTATCATCACTATTTGAAGGTCCAATGTCTTGTGGACGGTAGCAATTCATAGTACAATAGCTGTGTCTATTAGTATTACACAGTTTGTCATTAGTGGCAACCTGCTGCGTCTTTCTTGATAATGTGATAATGGGTTTTATTCAAAGAACATTTGACAGCCCTGAATTACATTGGATGAAATGTACATTTGGTACATTAGTAGGTGTATGGCACATTAACAGGTTTGGCGAATTAACAGGGCATACTTAATTGGTTAAAATCACGGGCAAATCCATTAAGATATTACAAGCTGAGCTAAAATATATATATTAACAGAATTAGCTGAAAAGCTGTATACTGAAACATTAACATGCGACAGTAGCAGTTGATGAAATAGATATGTGGGCTTCAGAATATTAGACGTATGTAAATTAAACGTATATACAAACAATAAATAAAAAAAATCTTCGGAAACGAAGCCAAGCCAAGAGAAGACAAACAATAAAATATTCTGGTTGACCGTTCTGATTACACTGCGCTATGCCATAGTTGGACTGGAAACTGGTCAAGTTTTTTGTTCTGTCTGGTTTCCGTGCCACATTTAGCGGTGTTGGTCAATAATGTAAAGCCAAATGACCACTTCTAGGCAATGAGCTAAATGGTACGAAATATGTATGACTATGCAAAAGGATGGCGATGAATGAGTGTTTTGAAAGCTTGATCATTGTATTATCTCTCCACGCAGTTGGGGAAGCCAGTTTAACAGCTTACCAAATGCAAAGTAGTGGCATTGAAAGCTAGTAAATTACAACGGTGCAGATATGCCTACCACACTGAATATTGTTGTTAATATTGTCTCATCGTTTTAGGCCTAAGATAATGCTCTAAATAAAGGACTTTCGTAAACAAGGAAAGCAGACAGACACTATATATGTACTGCTGTTGAAAGCTGGTAATCTACCATTTTAGAAAGATGCGCCTATCACACAGACACCACATTGAATACTGCCTCGCTGTTTTCGAGCCTAAGATAATGTTCTACACAAACGACGTTTGTAGACAAGGAAAGTTGACAGACATTATGTACTGCCGTTGATACCTGATAATTCACCATCTTACAAATATGCCTACCACACAGACACCACATTGAATACTGTCTCACCGTTTTAGGGTCTAAGACAACGTTCTTAAAAAACAACTTCTATAGACAAGGGAAGCTGACAGACCCTTACTACTATCACATAGACATCCTGCTGAATACCCTCTCACCGGTTTGGGGCACAAGATAGCGTTCTACATGTACATAAAAGACATTTGTAGACAAGGAGAGTTGACAGACCCTTACATAGACACCATGCTGAATACCCTCTCTCTCACCGTTTTAGAGCCTAAGATAACGTTCTACATAAAAGACATTTGTAGACAAGGTGAGTTGACAGATGTGACTCTCAGTCCTCATTACATACCGGTAATGAGGTGGCGGATTCAGACAGGCAGAGTAGGCTAATGTTTCGCATGTCATTTGTCTAATGGGTTTCAGTACGGCTGGAGTGATGATGCCGTACGTAATTTGACTTGTTGTCGACGACCGTGAAATGGGCAGAAGGAGGAGATGGCCTGTCGGTTGGCTTTATCTCGGGTGTCTCTATTGTCGTAATCCCACAAATCATCTGAACACGAAATGATCACTGCACGAAATCCCATCTTTGAGGACAGCTTAAAGCTTAGCTTGCGTAAAGGTAACGTTACAAGGAAGTGGAGAAACGGAGCTCAGGGAATTCATTTAGACATGCTTTAGAGTGTGCGTAAAAATTGACTTTGTGCAGTTTCTGCTTAAAGTTTTTTTATTGTATCTATATTTACGATGTCTTTTCTTGATTGAAACGTTGTTTCCCGGATCCAGATATGTTTATTTATATACTTATTTCAGCTTATTCACATAACAATAACTTAAACAATAAGTAAAATAAGAGAAACAGAAGAATGATCTAAGATATATGCAAAACATATACAATTAAACCAACAACAGTCCATGGTGGCATATAAGTTGACATAACTTGAGCCGTCACCATGTCTAGTCATGAAATGTTGATTTTAAAAAATCCTAAAATTATGTTTAAGAATGTCCTCTTGTGTTTCTGTCCATTGAAGTTGCCACTGTCTTCTCATTCGGAAAATATATTGTGTTGGTAGCACCAAACGCTATGGCATGAATGTAAGAACATAATTAATGTAGAATTCGCTGATCGCGGAAACCCTTTTCATCATACTTTACGAGCAGCGGTAAACATCGTTCATACTTATTTCATACTTAGTTTAAGCATGTTCCCATTCTTAATCATTGCAGGTCATATCAGAGCTAAATCATGTCGATATATTTTCATTATTTTGTCTATCATCTTATTACCAAATATTGGATACCGATTACCCTCACCCATCCATATTATCTATTAGACCCTCTATCAGGATTTAAGTGACGCATGACCTACATTTATCATATTAACCTGCATTTCTTTAGATTAACCTCAAAACATAGATTTGGTAGATATGGAAATAGATATTCTTGGTTGCTTCTGTATCCATAACAAATAGACAAAAAAATCACTGAAATCATTTTCAGGCATCCACGTCTGAAGTATGACCAGAATGAAATTAATAGTTTCAAACTGAAAACAACACAAGATTTGTTTTCAGACAGTGCAACAAACGACGAAAGAAGAATCTATAATTATACCAATCGGTGCACCGATGTTTCAGCACTAGGGACAGTCCCATATGTGCGAATGGCTGGAAAATGTGCATTTGACTTCATAGCAATAACAGGTATTTGTCTTTGTTGTTACAGTCTGAGTATGGTTCAGATTTCACAGCCAAGATTTAATTAAGTTGGTTGAATTGTAACAAACCAATAAAGACGTATTGTATTTCATTGTATATCGTGTCAGTTTCGTCTTATATTTAGGCTAATCTGTTTAAGTTTCCTCCGGTGTTGCTTACCTTAGCTGAATACTAAGATGGTCTGGACTAATTGACTCGACAAAAAAGTGAAAACAATGTGAACTGAAATGCGCGCCTTTCCTGATGTACTGATGCTAACACATGGTGACTGTTGAAGGTGACTAAAGCGATTTCATGGCAGGGAAACTGGATTTTCAAAGTCAATTTTCTGGTCAATTTTATAGCGACTTCATTGTACATTGTGTCAGTTCCTGTGTTAGAAAATTACATCAATCATTCAATCCAGGTGTACCGTTTCTAGATGACTGTGATTTGAGAAGAACCTACCTTGGCAGAAGAAACCCATGATGACGGCTGTGACGATGAAACATGGCAGACACTGGTTCATCTTGGCTCGGGCCCTCCTCATCTTTCTTCTCCTGTGTCCTCTCGGCTTCCACTGCTGAGAACCTCTGCGTGCTGACATCCACATCAGCATGGTGGTGACAGAATGGTGCCGTCTCGGTTGGCAGCGAGTTTCGGTCGTCTTCAGATTTCAAGTACAAAATGCAAAGACTCGTTTCTTTCGGAGAACAAGATAACTTCAAAGCACAAGCTCCCAGCACCAAAACAAAGTCACAGACCTAAGCTAGATCCTATGCAACGAACCCGGTTGTTTCAATACCAATTCCCGTACAACTGGAATCGTCTTTCACCTTCCGGGGATACTATTGTACTGTAGGAGATCACACTTAAACCTCTAGAAGAAGAAATTTCATTGCCGTCATTGTGCAAACAAGAAACGACTTTTCGCTAGCGTAATAGCAACGTGGGTAGCAGCAGATCTCAACGACATCCTCGTAAAATGAAACTGCCTGTTCCTGGATTGTTGTGCTCAACTCCCCGGTAAAGCGCGGACCAACCGCAGCGGTCCACGGGGACGTTATAAAAACGTGCGCTGTGATCGAATAGTCCTGAAGCGGAGAACACTACTTCTGTACTGCACATACCACAAATCACTGCCGGGGGGTCGGACGGAATGAGAGCACGGCGTTCAGCCAACCACGGGAGGGCTGGCATCTCACGTGGTCCGCAACGTGCCGTGGGTAGAATGATGAAGTAAGAAAAACTAATAAAATAAGAATTAACTACATACAAACTCTCTACATAAGCTCTCAAGATTCGAGGTTTCTATAGGCCATAAATTTTACTGCAAATAGGTGGTGAATTGTAGCACACCTAGTATGTTCCTATATTTCATCGGTTTTATCTGACGTTGTATGTACAAACTACAATAAGAACGGTTTACACACATATATGTTGCTATATGTCATCGGTTTTATCTAACGTTATTATATACAAACTACAATAAAAAACGGTTTGCGAGCAAAAGTTTCCCTACATGTACACCATGACAGGAGTCATTAAATGTTGCAATATCGCACATGCGCTATCTTACACTCCTATCGTGCTGTTACGTATTTCTTACGAAGTCATGTGAAGAAAGTTAGCTAATTTCCGGCTTACGTTACTTGGGATGAGACTGCAGTGTCGGCGTCCCTTCTTCCTTCGTCATTCTTACACAAGTGCTCAGTAGTCTCTATCAGGCCACACCAAGTAAATTTATGGATGACGTCCGCGCGCGCATTGATTTTGGCCTGTTCGTCAGATTGACGTGAAACCCGTAACGCAAAATGGGTAAAGAGCAAAAATGTGATGAAAGAAACAGGACAGGACGACAACTGCTGTTCCACCTGATTTATTGCTGTTTTGATGATGAATAAAAGACTTCTTGCTTGGTACACTGTGTCACCTCATTCAATTTGTGTCCTAACATTTGTCGTCTCCTAGTATATTTCTAATCTAGGCATCTTGTTTTTTAGGGCCCTTCTTGTTTTTTTTCGCCCTTTCGCATTAGATTTAGGGTCTCTAAAGGACGTCATCCATAAAATTTACTTAGTGTGGCCTCAGACTAAAAACGTGGGTCCAAAAACAGTAAAATGTAGCCAAATAGGGAAAATAACTGGCCAGGGGGAGTTTAGCCACCGTTAAGTTCATTTGCCCCAGGGGGAAATGAAACCCTAATGGTGCCTACTCCCCGAGTCAGAAACTATTTTGCCTACTGAATTCTACCATACCCCTTTTAGGAGGCTAAAAGGCTATATCTAGCTCAGTAGCTTATTCAATGTTTACTTAACATAGGCCGTGGTGCTCTACGCTCCGAGGCTATCGTTGAGCTAAAACATGAATTAGGGTAAAGCCTAAAGCGTTATTTCAGATGACACCCGAGGTTTACAGAAACGTTTCCAGTGACATGGAATACTTGTCATGGACAGGGTAGTGTCCCCACATGCCCTGGCGTGCGTATATCGTTTCTACACTTCATTTTCATCGTTTCTTTTGTCAACAAAAAGTTCACATCAGTCTCCTGCTAACTACTGTGATTGATTACAATAAGGGTGTTGAAGAATGTGTTTTTTCCACACATGTAAGAGTTTTAAAGACATGCGGTACTCTGTGTCTGTCACAGGCGCTTCTATCCAAGAAAGAGCCCCAGACTGTTTGACGTCACCGTTAACTACACTGGCACCGCATAGGATTAAAAACTACCTCAGGGCCTGTATATCAAACCGATCATTTAACTCGTTGAATGCTTTGCAGGTTGAACAGGAAGCAACAGCCATATCTAGTACAGACAACTGGGGATTTTGGGGTGCCTGGATTGGAAAAATAAATTGAATCAAGACTGCCAAGTGGCGAACTGAATCATGGTTATTAGAATTTGGAAGCATGAATAAAATATGAACGTCTTGCCCCCGAAGATATTTTGTTTAATGAGTGATTTAAAAGCTATGTGTGGTATTTAAACGTTTGTTTCTACTACTGAAAATGACATATTTTCAATGAATTAATTTGAACGAGGTAAGAATTTTGTAGAAACAATTTTGACATAAATCATTATCAATGAAGCCATTTCTTAACCACAGCAAGTTTCTCTGGAAAACCTGGCACCTTATTTTGCTGCAGTGATAAATATCACGGTATGTCATTGCATATGGTGATCCAAGATGTTCAGAGAACAGACGACAGTGGAAATTAAAGACTTGATTTATCTAGTTGTAGTTCTTACTTATCTTGTCTCAGATTTAGGCTAATCTATTTTAGTTTCCGCAGGTGTTGCTTACCTTAGCTGAATATTAAGATGGTCTGGACTGATTGACTCAACAAAAGAGTGAACAGTGCGCCTTTCCTGATGTACTGTTTCTTCTTCTTCTGTTAATGTTCGGCTGCCGTCACTCCGGCAATTACTATATCTGTCTGTATCTGTATCTGTATAGCCGGTATAACCGCCCTTCGGCGTAACACACCAGCTTCGCAGACACGCGGCGGCAGCTAGCTATATCACACCGAACGACTTGTTACACTCAATCTTTGCACATTTAATTGCAGGAGTTGTTTTAAGCTTTCTAGTGATGATGCCCCAACTGTGCTTGGTGGCAACGAGTTCCAGTCTACGATAGTTCTGGGGAAATACCAGTTTTTGAACAACTCAATTCTTGGTTGATAACTCTGATATTTGAAGGCATGGCTGTTTCTTGTTCTTTTCTGGGTTGGTATCAGATACTTAGTGGTTGGTACGTCCACCAGTTTATCAGTCATTTTGTACATCATGCACTGTCATTTTTTATGGGACGAAGGTCACTATATATGTGTTTAAGCTTTAAGTTTTGACACTTACGAGACGAAGGTCGCCAGGGATGGATTCTAACTTATGACGACTGGTGCCCAAAGCGATTTCATGGCAGGAAAACTGGATTTTCAAAGTCAATTTTCTGGTCAATTTCTTAATGTAGTGAGCCGAATCAACCCTATATTATAGCATACTGATATCTGTGAGGCAAAAAAGGGATGTCGCTGATGGAAAAATGTTGCTTGTTTCGTATCGCAGGCTGGTTTATCGGCGGCACCAAAAATTAAGGGACTTGCATAGCTTGGGGCTCTTTAAAATGCTTCAAGTATGAAATGATGACAAAAATGTGCTAAGATAATGGCAACAGCCTTACCTGCAAAACTACAATCGCATATCTTTTTATTATCTTTTCATTCGCAGTTGGTTTAAGACTGTTGTTTTCACTCATTCACAGATACCATTCAATATTTGGTGAGCTTGCAGTAGCTTCTATCTTCACCGAGATCATTCAACAATCTGAATCTGAAGTTCCCCATTTCTCACAACAAAATCGATACATTTTGTCCTCCGTGCCACTTATAAGACTTGAAACCAATCAATATCAATTAACCAATCATCAGAGCGTCTTTTCCTTTACGGCAAGAGGTCGCATAGGTCATAGAATGTGCCCATCTCAATTCCGCACTACAAATGTTGTCATAACGTACAACAAAACTAGGTCAGCTGGTAAATGACGGTATCATGGAGTGTGGAGGTGTCCACAAGATCTCATCATTGCCTCTTAGACACGGGTTATAAAGCGGAGAATTGAATTTGCCTAACCGCATGATGGGTAGTCAGTACGGTACTGAGCCACTAGCTCGATGCTCCTAGTCATACAACTCGTAGTAAGAACTTAGAAATTTCAGAAGAAGAAAAAACCAGAAAACTGAACTTTCTTGTTATTCTTTAATGTAGTAAGTTGCATCAATCCTATCCCAAAGCATAAATACGATGTCACTGACGGAAAACGGTTGCTTATTTTGTATTGTAGTCTGTTTTTTTAACGGTGTCGCTCAATGCAAGGCCAATTATTTTTGGCCACTTCTAGGCATAGAGCTAGAGGTACTAAAGTGAGTATAATGAAGTTATGTCAGGAGATGGCGGTGGACCTTTGTTTTGAAGCTTTGTGGATTGTAGCCGGACGGAAAGCAACTGTTTGGAAGAGAGTTCCATAATTTTGCAGTCCGGGGAAAGAAGCTGTTGTTGTAAAATGACTTGGGGACAGGTATGTTAACGGTGTATTGATGAGAACTGGAAGAGAACCTAGTGGCACGCTGAAAGGTTCTGAGCGGCGGAACAAGAAGTGCAAGTTCTCCTGAACATCGACCGTGAAAGTATCTGCAAAAGAGGGATAGGGATGCGACATTGCGTCTGTGTGAGAGGGAATGGTTTTAGCTATTTATGGGTGGTACACAAAATAAGAGACGCGTACGCCTCACATAGCTTGTTTTGGGGCTATTTCAAAAGTTTCAAGTGTGAAAATGTGCTGAGGAATAGCAGTACATGTCAATATCAGACACAGAATGTCTCATCCAGACTATTTCATTTTCTTTTGCCGACCTGATATTGCATTGGATGCCTTTAACTTTCCAATTCTTCAAAACCTTTACCTTCCCAGAGTAGACCTCAAAGTAGATTTTGAAGACATCATATATAAAGTACATTTTCCAGACAGTACAGATATATATATATTCCCGGTAGCGTCTGTGGGTGAGAGGTCTATCGGTGTAAGGGTGTTGCTAATGCGGAGGTGCCGGCTTCGGTAGATGGAAACCGTAACCTGTCTGACCTACAGAGAAACAGACCGGGTCTATCAACATCTGCTTACCCCGCGCAAAGCTCAAGTGAATAGTCTTTAAATTCGTCTGAGGGCCTTAAGGTCACGGTGTCAACGTCTGGTTCTACATTCTAGCGCGATCCACCAATTTGCACTTAAGGGCAGCCGCCTTGATCCGGCTTAAGTGCAGGAGGGCCACACAAGCGATCAATCTAGCGCATGAAGGAAACCCGCCTTTTCGAAGAGGTTCAAATCCTTTGGTAATCCACCCACGTGCCTTACATATTCCTAGCAGTTACATGTCTTGAGCACAGAGAGTTCCGTTCGTTCAATTTGATACTGTAATGATAGCCTGCTTAACTGTAATGATATCCTGCTCCTGCCGAAATATATCTCTGATTAGTTTCAATAGGGATTCATATAAACCAGTAGAATTACATGGCAATTGAATTGTCAAACATAGTAGGTTTTGCTGCGGAGTATTTTCACGTAGTACTTTGTGAAAAAGTTCTATGCCAAACTCATTTGGGCGCCAAGGCTGTTTTATTTTTCACGTAGTATTTCTGTGTGCGCCAAACACTTTATGATTCAGTATGAAGATTATCCTCGAGGATTATCAGTCGCAAAAATTCAATCTTCTGCCCATTCGGGCGCCAAGGATGTTTACTTGTATTTTCACGTAGTACTTACATGTGAAAAACTTTATGACTCAGTATGAAGATTATCTCCGAGGATTATCAGTCGCAGATTTTTAATCTCCTGCTCATCCAGGCGTCAAGGTTGTTTACAGGTTTCCCATCTGTGCGTTGGACCTGAACTGATGAGTTGTGATGAGGGAGGGGCCGTGTGGGATTAAGACTCCGTGTGTGCGTGATGGAGGGAAATCCACGGACCGTGTGCGGAATTCACAACATATACAACTAGACTAGAAAGGTAACATTTGCAAAGCAAATGCATAATGTTCACCTTCACATATGGTCTGATCTAGGTGTAACAAGTCGATCGGTGTAATATAGCCAGCTGCCGCCGCGCCGCGTGCCTGCGAAGATGGTGTGTTACGCCGAAGGGCGGTTATACCGGCTATACAGATACAGATACAGATCTGTTAATTCCTACTCAAACACATTCATATATATTGTCAGACAGGAGTATAAATCCCTCCTGCTATAAAATTGCAACATGATGTAACCCAACACTAGTTGTCTGGCTTAGGTCATTGACCTTATTGGTTCGGAGAAGAAGAAGAGGAAACAGAGCAAAAACAATATGTTTTCCTTCAGTAAACACAACAAACATCAATCAGCAATAGGAGTCAAGTCCATGCTCTCCAAGCAGAGGTTAGGATTTGGCTTAGTTTTGACGTGTTTTAGGCAATTTTTAATTTTTTTTATTCAACTGTCTTGCAGCCACCAAAAGATCTATTTGGAAATTAACAGTGCCAGACATGCCTCATAGACAGTTCAAACTGTGGTGGTATATAATTTTTCTCTTTTCATTTTCATCTTTTCAAAAATAATCATATGGAAGTCCATTAACACCTTGGATAAATGACATGTGTAAAAATTATTCCAGAATAATATATATATCCAATAACATATCCAGAATACGGGACATCAAAAAGTCCTGTTGCAGTGCCCTAGAAAGCCGCTTGGGGCGGGGAACAGTCTAATTATTTTTTTTTATTTTGGCTACACCAACCAACATACCAAATATTAGCACGACTTCATTCTGTTCACACACAGACCCGATACAGCCGAAAATATTACCTTCTAGGCGAAGGTCGTGCAGTCCTTGAAGCTAGGACATATGCTAACCGCTGTGTCTGGCGAGACAGAACGTGCGAACGTGTTAAACGGAGGGGTCGGCGGTTATAGCGCATCTAAGCCCCAATATCTATCACACATTCACTACAGTCCTAGGGGAATCACGTAAATTGGACTTCAGTACATTTTTCGTGTCAATGCCCTTTCGGTTTTCCATTTGAGAGAGTTACTTTGAAGGTCAAAATCAAGCAATTAAGCAGACACTGTATTAGATGTCGCGTGTAATCCATAAAGACTAATGTATGTACATTATTATCTATGAAATATTGTTCAACTTATTTTAACTGTGTAACGGCTATGTGTTCAAACAATTGTAGACGTATACATATTGAGAGACTACATATGTTTTTGAGAGTCTGTTTTAGAATGTCATCTTGATTTGATTTAATTATTGGGATTGCAAACAAATACCATACTCGTGGGCCACAGGCAGCGGGGGGCTGGTGTTATGGCCCACACACAAAACAATCATAAGCACACAAAGAAGACACACATTTAAACCTAATATAAGTACATAAAAATAAGGGTACTAGAAACAGCATAGATTAGAATACTAGTATATCAGTCCATTTACTACTTGATACAGTTCATGCGGTTTCTAGCCGCCAGAATGTTCTCGTGTCTGGGGCCACGTCTCCGGGTCAACTGGTGCTTCTGCTGTGTGAGCAGGTGGGCCTGACACATGTTCTTAAATATACTAATGCTGCGGGCCTCTTTAACAGACTGAGGCGCATTCTTTAACAGACTGGGATCTTCAGTGTCTCGGAGAAGGACTCAGTATTGGGGTTGAAGGCCACTTATAGGATGACGGCCGCTTGGTCTTTTTGGTCCGCTTCGTCTTAGTCTTAGCAAGGAGGTCCTTATTCGTCTTAGGGACGACTGCGTCCGTGGCCAAGGGGGACGGACAAGTCTTCTGTGGTGTCTGTGGTTGGGGAGGTTGTTGTTGTTGTTGTTGTTGTTGTTTAGTCTTGGTGACTGGTCTGGACATAGGGCGTGGCTAGAGAAACACATACATACATACATACATACATACATATATAGTATCAGTAATGTAGAATGTTAAGGGATACATTATCTATATTGTGTGTACTGGTGATAGTATATATAACGTTAGGGTCTAAAGTAGAGTGCATGCACAAGTTTGGAGACAACTTTCACTCTGATTAGTTCACATGGGGGCTTTTTCATTTAGAATAAAAGCTCCTGTTGAAATATTTCTTCCACACGGTAATGCCATTTCAATTCACGTAAATAATTTAGGTTATTCAATTTAAACTGGTCATAAAAATCATAACGGGAAAATTGCAACAAGGAAAGAGGACCATGGGCAAAAGAACGAGCTAGCTAGAACAGAAAAAGATGTTAATAGACAATCAACTGATGTTTAAGCCCATAAGATACGACAACAGACAATCAACTGGATTTCTCTTGGCATGGCATCATTCTTCGAAAACCCACACATTCCAAAAATTGTTATCCTTCGTCTGCCTGAAGAAAAAAGTTCAATCCGCCAGCTATAGGTTTAGGAGTTAGCTTTTAGTTCAAGTTGTGAAATATTGTTACCACTGTTTGTATTCCTCATCCTATCAAATGTCACTTACAATTAAACTCCGGCAAGGGTTTGTAATGAATAATCAATCAATCATTGGAACACCTTATAATTCCAACTCGTTACCTTATAAAGGTTATTGCGTTTTTTATGAAAAATGTCAACTAACTGTATCTAGAACGGCGCCAAGTTCATTAGTCTATAATGTCGTGAATTCGCCTTTTATTGTGTTCACCTTTTCCGTCCGTCTGGTGAAACATCCGCAGACGTTGAGAATGAGCAGCGCGCACAGAACTCCGTTCATCAGGGTTAGCGTCATGTTAAACGCGTACAGACCGGTGAACTCCTTACTGTCACTACAACCTGGGAGGAAAGAACATACCAGATCTGTATGCTGCACACATTTGCATAGATTTTAATTTATGTGTAGACTGCACTAAACTTCGGTTGGGGAAAGTCGTATTGAGGTCACCTGGTGGCACCGAATGGCAGCCGCACAGACCTTTGCGCGACAGTTACACAAAAGTGTGTGGAGCAAATATGTTATGTGTATCATGTGTATTATGTGATTGTAAACACTGCATCAATTCAAATATAAAAGGCTGCGATTGCACGGGTAATGTTTAACCAATAAACAATGTATTATTACTATAGCTAGATCAATGTAACTATAGCCAGTAGCCTTATATCCCCCGATGCCCTCTCTTCAACATGTTGTCTTCTATCAATATTGTATAGCTATGAATCTACAAGTAGACTCAACTATATCAATGGAATTCGCTAGCTTATGCAATGCTTTTCCTTACAATGTGCCTGTTACAGTTCACGATTCTATGATAGAATCTCAAAAACATGAATATATCTTTACTTTAAAAAGTTGTTAAGTAGAAGCTGCAGCTAAAGAGATGAAGAGAGGCAAACAAATTCATTTAGCAAACTAACAAACAGCAAGGCAAACGTAGCCCGTACCTCCTTTTGCTGTTGTGAGGTATAGACTGGAGTTGCAGGCTCCAATGACGAGGCCCAGGAACACGAGAGTGTGCAGCAAACAGACAGCTTCGTAGAAGTAGGCTGCGACCGTGGCTAGCCACACCTGGATTGGAAGGTGACAGAAGCGCCATAGCGGCTCGTCTCTGTACTGCATTTCTTCTAGTTTGCTCGACGATATTGCTATTAGCGCACTTTGAAATGTGTCAACAAAGCCAGTCCTGTCAGCAATTATATGTCTGGATCAAACTGATAAGATTTTGGTATTTTAAGTCCATAATGTACAAAAACACTGAGATTAATCAAGATATCAAGCAAGAGATATTGACTATTTCATTGAAAGTAATAATAGGTATAAACAGTGTCCCTAAATACATGTTATCAGCACGGTAATCAGACCGTTTAATACAACCTTTGACACGATAATGTGACAGTCGACAAACAGGACTTATACCTTTATCATCCATGAAATCTAAAATCTATTTGCCGCGTAGCCATTATTCAGAAATCAGCCGAATTCTTATACGTATACATTTCTTTGATATTCTGTGACGCAAATAGTCAAAATAGCTTTACGAACCCTGCATACAAGCAAACTGACCATTATCAATAGTTCTGTTGAAAATAGTAACATTCACCGTGCAAAATTCTATCTTTAAGAGCGCTTTGAAACATTCGTGAAGGTTCATTTTCGTCATTCCAGTGAACATTTATGCCTACTTCTACCATGCTTAAAGATTGGATTTGTTGTAGTGATTGGTAGATTTTTCACTTTAGGTGAGACGATTGAACAAACATACGGATAAAATCTCTAAAAGTTACTAAAACTCAGTCTATACATAGGCTGCAGTGCCTACAAGTACTAGAACTTCTTCTTCAAAACCAGATCTAAAATAGTTATGGTATATTTTGATTAGGTGAAGGTGACAACCTGTAGCATAGATTTATATACGTGTATTCGGACACACATCCGATGTGAAAATAGCCCAGCATCCAACGACCAGCGAATGTAAATGTTCCTGCACACATACCGGGGAGTTGGGCGTGCTTAGACCCTGATTACCAGACACTGAGGACGTGACAAAACAACGGGAAAACAACATGCCACACTTACCAGGCGATCGTTCTCCGTTATAGTGAGGATCCCTGTTATAAGCGCCTGGAACAAAGAAGGGGATCTACTCAGAAAAGAGAACGCTGATCTCTTATGCGTTTCAGTGGTATAAGGCTACTCTCCAAGCAGAGGTTGTGGGGCAATGATCGTTACCTTTTTATATATGGCCGGGTTTTTTGTCGCCACCCCCACTTGGGTCGCGCATGGACCCTCTCTGGCCAATTTGATACTGCCTGGCCAATTTGATAGTCTACTTTTGAGACCCTAGGATCTGCTTGGAGATTAGTATAAGGCGTAGGTTGCATGAAAGCATGAAACAGCAAAACAAAAGTATTTCCACAACAAAACGATCGAAAATGTTATTCACTTATATTATAGTGATATTATGGTGATATGACGAATCTGTCGCTGTACGAAAATCTATCTTTAAGAGAGCCTTAAAGCATCCGTAAAGGTCCATTTTCTTTACTCTAGTGAATATTTACGCATGCTTTTCAATGTGCTTAAAGATTGGATTTCTTGTAGTGTGCGGAATTCATCAGTTTAATTGGTTATGAAGAAATAAAGATCACAGATAAACTAATTTACAAGTATCTAAGGCTGTTCTCCCTAGGTCCTTACAAGTTTTCAGGTTTCTAAAGCATCTCTTCTAGTTATAGATTGTATGTCTAACTGATTTTTCTGTAAAGGGTTCGATGATCAATTGCAATAGATGAAAGTAGTTTTCCTTCTAACAAACAGCAAAGGTGCTAATGTATATACAACTTTTAACAGTAGCACTTTTTAGTTAATCAAAATAGATCGATGGCACAGTTTTTGATCAGAATGTCATTGTTTTGAAAACAAGTATAGTAATGGAGCTATAATTATAGAATTGTTTTAATCAACCCCCGTTTCCCTAAGCTACATGTATTACAAACAGACCAGAATTTGAAACAGTCATGGAGAGACAGGCCAAGACACGAACAAAGCTAGTAATCACATTCCGGGTTACATATATCCGCCACTTTGAAAAACAGTGTGCTTGAGAGATCTCTAGTGTTAGCAGCCCCATGCTTGCAAAGTTAAGCTATGAAGGAATGTATTATACTGATAGACGTTACATTGTAGATCTCTTTGGACGCATTTTCAGGGTAGCGGACATATTTGACCTGGCTAAATTATGCCAGTAGATGTTCCACCTACCTAGCCTCCACCAGGCCTTTCTACGGGAATACGGATCGTAGAATTCGACCAAAAAGATAGTAAAATTGGCCAAGGGAATCTGGCCGCGGGGAGTAGTTTCTTTCCCTCCGAGGCCTGTCAAACCCCAAGGCGGCCAAACTCCCCTGGCAAATATTCTCCTATAGCTAGTCTGGCAGAGACTACCACCTACCGTGGAGGCAGCGACGAAGGAGAAGATACTGCCGATGTCGTAGGCGACCAGGAAGCCGACCCCGCTACACACCCCGGCAACAGACCCCAGGATCAGCAGGTTCACCGCCAGGACCTTGTTCCTCACGACCCGAACCTCCATCACGGCGTACTCACCACTAACGGCGATGTCCTTGCCTTGTCTTGCCTTCGTCCCTTGACCCAAATCAGGGATGTCCAAAGGAGCCAAAAAGGTATTCTATATGGTTAAAGTGCTTCCGTTTGATGCCGCTGTAGTTCTGTGGACAAAACAAACTATTTGGCCGAACTCCTCAAGTTTTGGTTTCTCATGACAACAGCATGTACATGTGTACATGTACTCGTCGATGTACTGATGTTTTCAGGCCGTCGTAGCTTTCTTGATCATGAAAAGTTTAGTCTTGTCGTGCGCACGTTTACCAACTCTTTAAGAACGTCAGCCGAAGTACGACCGTTGATTTGAATTCTTTCAACTAGTCCTTAGGAAAGACGTGTCCTCTTCCAAAAAGATGATGCTTGCTTGTACGGTTCATGTGCCCACAGTTCCTTCCTTACTGTTAACGTTGGTTACCTTACTGAGCCACATTCGTCGTAGGTCGTCTTACGATTTTAAGCAGTCTGTGACAGAACCAACCGTCCACAAGGATTTAAGATAGCCTTTTCCGTGATAATACTGGTAAATTTTACAGAATATACAAATACACGACTATCCCATGCCCTCAGTTTGCAATCGTGAGATGATTGCACGACGTTATTTGTCCGTGTCGTACTTTAACTACGACAGACCTGAGACTACGTACTGTTGGTAGAAGCAGTATTTTCAAATCAGACTCTATCATCTAACACAGATACGCATGCGCCCCTAGTCATACAAATCCCCCCCCCCACCTCTACTCGAAGTTCCAAATCCACCCGGATATCGCCCCGCGCTGTTTCCGTCTTCTGCCTAATAATTGGCTGGACCGAACACAACCTTCGCTCCGACATACCAATCCTGGCGCGCGTAACATGCATCAAACGTTCAACAACTATATTACTTCTAAATCTTCCACAAACACCGACACAGATTTTCATTTCTGAAGCGCGAAGCAACAGATCTGACTGCTTAAAATGCCAGAGCTCACAATCTTAATTCTTAATTTGTAATTGTATGTTATCTGTGCTTTTGTGTATATCTGTTTTATGTATTGAATTGTCTTGTCTAATAAGCCCTGGAAGATTAGCCCCTCATGGGCCTCCAAGGCATTTTAATAAACCATAAACCATAAAAATCAAGCTATTAACAATCATTTGAAAAATAAAATGTATAGCGTTACCCTAGTGACATATTCGACAATATGTCAGAAAGTCTATGACCAATACTACACATTTTGACACCGATGTCTGTTTTGAAGACTGGCTTGCTTTGAAAATGCCGGCTTGTATGGTCAATGCGAGTCAAACAAGTCGTTGATTTTTAACAAACAATGCCCAAACATGTAGCACGTATCTGACTATATCGTGGGAACTGTTTGGAAAGTTTTCCACTGTCTATAGATATTGTACCAAAACTCCAAACTCGGCAAAACATACGCACACGAAATGCCTATTGACTCAGGCCACAGCAAGTAAATTGTATGGATGACATCCTCTGCAGACTCCAAATCTAATGCGAGCGGGCGAAAAAAAAACAATTCGGGTCAAAAAACAGGGTTCCTACATTTAAAATGTTGACTCAATCATTGTACAAATGGTTTTGATTCACTGGGAACATCACATATATACACAGCCAACATCACATATCACTGCACCAAGTAAGAAACAAAACATTAAATCAGAGCGTTTTCTTGTCTCCTCTCTTCATAGTTATCTGCCATCCACCTTCCGGCATGGTAACAGACATCTTTGCCCATATGCGGCATGTTGACCACTGTAAAATGGCAACAAAATTTCTTGTTTTTTTTCCGAATTCAGGCGAAAATTAATGCGCGCGATGATGACATCCATAAAAATTACTTGCTGTGGCCTTAGATATGTAGGTCGTGCCAAGCCCTGGACATTCTAGAAATGAGCGGACTTTGTCGTCTTAATTGCCTGGGTAAGCTGTGTTTACTCAGTGTCTGAATTCAGCTTAAGTTTGAAATTGCTTTTTAATGTAACTCCTTCTACACGTCCGTATGCGTGTCCCAGGGTTACCGGTGTATTTATGAACGAACGCTTGATGCCTACAGGTGTGAAATACTTGTCTTTATTTTCTTAATTTGACCTTCATCTGATATTTATGACCTTGTGAAGGAAAGGTCACACCACCTGAAGTGAGCTGTTGTTGTAAAAGACATGTACAAGTGGAAATTCCCACAAAGTAAATACCTTGACCATGTAAAGTTGTGAATTTACTTTTCTCTGTGTATCGTGAACTATTTGTTGTTTACGGCTGTTGAGATAACTGAAGATAACTGTTTTTGTTTACATCTTGGAGAATTATGCACGGGACAATTTTTAAACTCTGCTACTCTATGTGCACTGGATTTGCGTGAGAAGGCAGACACAGTTTCACTGAATTCACGTCTTGTATGAACAAATTATAAACGGGAAACTGCAAAAACGACACTGTACACGTGATGGTGGTGTTTGTGACAATTCAGACAGGGGGCGCTCCTAGACGACCTGTTTGAAAGCTCGAAGAGGTGTCCTGTAAAGGAGGGACAAGAAAAACGGTCATCATCACGTGCATTAAAAATGAAGTGTTTGGGCTTTTGTGAATGTATTGGAACTGAATGCTATATAGTGTACGAATGGGGCTTTTCACACTCGACATTGAAATTGTAAACAAGTATGCTTACCTCAAAAACAACCTGGTGGTTTTTAGCGCAGGGTGGCTCGGGAGGAGAGAAGACACTGGGGTCCTTTATACCAGTCGTTATGTCGGTGAAAATCTGAGTCGTCACTGTAGAATCTGAAGGGGGTGGTAACGACAAGGTATCTATTATAATTAGTTATTTGTATCGTAATACATCTAACCTTCAAGTTGCAGTTCTTCGGAAGGGCTGTCATCTGTGAGTCCCATTTTAGGTAGAATTACAACGTGAGCTGCAGATTTAATACAGAATCGGAGTTAGGACAGCCTAAACCCGTGTGTAACGATTCACAAACTACTACTTTTTTTACGTGTGTCTTGCAACTGTATAATGTCCTTGGTCATACTTTTCCATCGTGTACAGATCATGTTCCACTGATAAAATCAAGGATAAAACCGACTCAATTTTGGTTATCGCCGTCAAGTGGAAAGGAGGCCTGACCAATTTTGTGGTTCTCAATGAGACTCATTCTTGCGGGAAATATAGCCTCCAATCATATCTTTTGTGGCTGCTGTGGATATAGGAACAAATACATAAGACATCGCTACACCAGTACAAACAAGAACGCCCGATAAAACGCGTATAAAGGGAGTCATAGCCTAAAACTCAGCTTGTAGAGTAGTAAATAGCTACATGATCATTGGGTGGGGAACCGGACTTGAGCTTTTGAATTTCCTGTATCTACTGTTTTGCCTGTCTTAAAGTTGCGTTTGTTTTTTCTTAATTATATATATTTGTTTAGTGGTGCCGTAAACATAAGCGCTTTCCACTTGAGTGCGGCACCACCAAGTCTTGTACCTTTTTCTATGTGAATGAATAAAAAAAAATAGCTACATACGCTGCCTCATCAGGTTGACGGTGACTTGTGTGACGGGGTAGCAGCCTTCCCGCGTCACATCGGAAATGATGTAGTTGTTGTCCATCCCTGCAAATGTCGTCATGAACGCGTCACACTCCAGCCCGCCTGGCGCCATCCCGCCAAAACTGAACGAACCGATGTTCGTGGCGTTGTCTAGAGGGTAGGAAACAATTCGTTGTACTTTTGTAAATAAAAAAAAGCAAAGCAAAGCAAAGCAAATGCATAATGTTTACCTTCGCATATGGTCTGCTCTGTTAATTCTTACTCAAACACAATTTATTGAACAATTATTTTGCTAGGTATCTTTTCAAATCAAATGTTGTTACTAATTGATATTATTATTATTATCACTACTATCATCGTTATTGTTTTCATTTGCTGTTTTTGCTCATACTGCTGCCGACCTGTTATGTATCATTTATTACTCATCGAATGATTTATTATTTATCGCCGTTCTATTTACTTCAACGTTCATTATATGATTTGTTAATTCTTTGTCATCACCCTTGTAAATAGTGTTGTTATGATTTCTGTTATTGTTTATTTTGTTTATTATTTATGAAATCCTTATCAGTTTATATTGGTGGGGGCTTTAAAAGGAGTAATTTTCCTGTTTCCCCCAACCTTTTTTACATTTTGTTGTAAATAAAGCTGAAATAAATAAATAAATAAAACACGTTCACGTATATATATGGAGACAGGAGTCTAAATCCCTCTTACTATAAAATTGCAACATGATGTAACCCAACACCGGTTACCATGGTGACAGATAGTCTGGGTCAGAGGTCAGTGTTTGGAAAGGAAAAAGAGGAAACTGAGCAAGACCAATATGTTTTCCTTTGGTAAACATAAATATATTATCATATCATCATGCTGTTGTGTTTTTACATTGTACATCAGTTCAAAATGCTAAGTACACTAGTAACTATACTTTGATGGCTTACTAGTACCTAGGAAATACATGGAATGACACTTTACAAAACCAGACTTCATAGCCTTCATTATTAAGGGCAATGGAAATGACCTTTCGGTTACATGACTTCAGTAATTGGGCAAACGTGTCGGAAAGTTTATGATCAGTATGGTTAATACAACCTACCTGGTATACACTGCTTTACAAATCCCTTCAGGACAGACTCCATACAAGACTTGCCTCGTATGACGTACTGTTTACCCTGTGGGGGATAACAGTGAGTACTGTTAGCTTCAATAACCCAGATACAGAGCAGATATCACTACTGTGTTTGGCTATTGAAGGCTATAGTTAAATGGCATCATAAATAAAAGTACTTTCCAACATTTCAAGCTGAGAAATTATATTCTTCTGCACTAGAAAGTCACAAGCTTAAAGGATAGAACTTGTATGTTTCAAGGAGGTATGACATCTTCGAATTCTTGTTCTTTTAAGAAGTTACCTTCTTGTAATCCTGGATGACCTTGACCATGATGTTTCCCGTCCCGGTCTCGTTCAGATTCTCGACTAGTGCTAGTTTCTGGTTGGTGAAGTCGTAGGATATCTGTCAACCCAAATACAACAGGTAGAGGTAATAATATAGTTAGTCGTGGTACACATGGTGCCCTTGAAAATGATGTTATCAATTGCACAAGACGGTTACACTGTATGTTATCAATAGCATGATGCAGAGTATGTAGACGCTTGTAAGTTGTATAACATTACATGGTTATCATACTACAGCAAAATCAAAACGTTCTGGTTCCTAACTGATTCTTAGCCTTTGAACGAGGAAAACATTTTTGCCAGGAGTTTTTAATTTCTCAAAGAACCTGGCCGGGGAGCCAACGGGAGTTGAAGGTCGACATAGGGTAATTCAGGAAGCCGAGGATTTGTTTATTTGTTTATTTTGATTTTTCACAGAGTGAAAGGGAGGTCAAAACAGGTGCATACGCACCTTTACAAATTGGCCTCCTCCATGCAAAAACACATATACAACATCAAAATAACAACATGTATAAGAATACACAGAATTGGCAACCAATATAGAAGGTTAAGCATTTCAGATATATCTAATAAGTAGTATAAATTGTGTTGAAACAAGACTTAGTGAGGTCTAGAAGCAATACAAGAACTACACCCACAAGAAGTGGTCCAAGTACATGGCAGGTCAAGACTGTAATGTGTGTTATATCTGTTGTAGGTGGCCTTGAGTAGCTTGTGTTTGATGTGTAGGATCGCAAACTTTCCGCGGGAGTCTTGTTCATTCTACATGTAGTTACTACATTTTACCTGTACAGTCCCGTCCACGGTTCCTAACTTGTCGTCCACCAGGAACCCCTGCAGCCCCTGTATCGTGCCCTCCCATTGGTCAGGCGTGCAGCACGGTTTCTGTCCCGCACACAGGCCCAGCACGGCACACAACACCAACACAACCACCTGCCTCATGCTGCTGAAGAGTTGTACGACTTGTTAAAGAACGGTCACGATGTTCTTATGACATCCTCACAAGAATCATGAATATGTTAATAAAATGTTATTCTTGATAAGAGACAACAAAAAACGAGGAAGACTCTGAAAACTGGCATGTGCTAAGGGACCTAATCTATTTGAATAAGCTGACTCATGGTCAAGAATAGTCGATGATTAAGCAAATACACAACAAGGAGATTGTTCTAATTTTTTTCTAAATTTAGATAGAACAGATATAATTATATAAAGCGAGTAATAGTCTAAAAACTGGCATGTGCTAAGGGTTCTGATGACCTAATCTATTTGAATAAGTTGATTCATGATCAAGAATAGTCGATGAATAAGCAAATATACAACATGGAGATTGTTCTATTTTTTTAAATTTAGATAGAACAGATATAAAGCGAGTAATACTCTGAGAGCTGACATGTGCTAATAGTCCTGATGACCTAATCTATTTGAATAAGCTGACTCATGATCAAGAACAGTCGATGATTAAGCAAATACACAACAAGGAGATTATTCTAATTTTTTTTTAAATTTAGATAGAACAGATATAAAGCGAGTAATCGTCTGAGAACTGGCATGTGCTAAGGGTCCTGATGACCTAATCTATTTGAATAAGCTGACTCATGGTCAAGAATAGTCGATGATTAAGCAAATACACAACAAGGAGATTATTCTAATTTTTTTTTAATTTAGATAGAACAGATATAAAGCGAGTAATACTCTAAGAGCTGACATGTGCTAAGGGTTCTGATGACCTAATCTATTTGAATAAGCTGAGTCATGATCAAGAATAGTCGATGACTAAGCAAATACATAACAAAGAGATTACTCCCAGTTTTCGAAATTAAGACAGAACAGATAAATTCTTATTCTTTATGGAATTATACAAACCGTGTTTTATAAGCTGCATATGTTCATACATCTACAACTGTCTTAAGAAGCGAGAAGAAGTTTAGATTGTACATAGTAGTCGAACCAGTACTGTAATAGTACACATTAGTATATATAGTAAGATATCTCCCTATATTTTGTGTAGTGCTTTATACATGACGTACCTGTGCTTAGTTTGTAAAAGCATAAACGTACAATAAAGGTCTTCAATCACATCACATCATATCAATGATTCAAACGGTTATAGAAATATCGGAATTCTGGCATTGGTGCATGGCGATGCTGAAATCGCACAACGTAAGGCTAAAATTAGGCAAGAGAAAAAGCAGGCGAAGAACAGCAATATGACATCTCTGTTAGTCGTAATCTTCAAAATGAATTCTCTTACAGACAATATTCCTAAAGTTTATGCGATAAATACACACCTTTACAAATGGCGAGTTGAAAGACGTGTGCCCTGTCTCAGGTCCCTACTCGTGACTGTGAATAAAGGTACTGTTCATTGACCCAAGAAAACAAACAGGTTATATTTGATTAAGAAGTAATCATTGACAAGGGTTGTAGGTTAGATGGCAGTGGTGACTGATGGCAACAATGCTTGAAAGCTAATAAGGAGGGGTTTCTTACGTTGTCTGCTGAGGGGAATACCACAATAACTCGCGAAGGCTTACATTTTCTTAGTTCACCTCTTTCGTACCTTTAGCATTCTGATTGAAGATTTCGAATAGGGTGCCCAAGCAGATGTTAGGGGGACAGATTGTAATGTTTTCTGAGTGACGGCCGGGCGTCACTGACAGTCCCTCACCCTATAAATAGTTGAGTAAAGGTCAAATATTTAAGGAAAGGTGATGATATCCACATACACCCTTGATATATTCATTTTCGTACTAAAATTGATGTGTATATGAATGTAGGCGGCGCTTCAAGGTGTTACATGGGCTCCTCGCGTAGCGCCGAAACATCGTTCCTTTCTGTGTCAAGTAGGGTTTTAAGAAGTCTTAAAGGTCATTCAAAATGTTTGCGAAGACGTCTGGGTGTGTTTTGGGAAGTTTTCACCTGATATAATCCTATCGTTGTATTTTTACGCATGTTTGAAAGTTGGGGCTTAATACCCTAACAGAGCCCAACCTGCAGTACCGCTCCCGACCGCATCTAAGAAAGTCACAAAGGAGACCGTCAAATTGCCAAATTTCGGTCTTTTCGGGAGTGGGGAAATCGCGAAAGGCTCGCAAGGGGTATTCAGCATTTTCGGTTGTTTTCATGTTAATTCAAGTAGTAAGACCAGAATAAAAGTACAGAAAGGTTCTTCTAGAGATAATCTATCTGGAAATATCATAAAAGTTTATATATGATCCGTTGTTCTTTGCCTTGAACAACATGAAATCCTTACCTACAACACTACACAACTTTGGAACACTTTTCCGAAGTAAATCTTGCCATTTTGTGGTTAAAAACAATATGACGTTTGAATTCAATGATATCAAAGTTGTCTAAGGCGTAAATGTAGCCATTTTCTAAAACTACGAACCGTACAAAAATATATATAACGTTGTAGTCTTGGACCGGGTAGATTGTTGCACTTCACAAACTATTCCGCTAGGAGCGTTATTATTCTAGTACCCCGGGGCCCGTCGGACGTATTACCATATGAATGAGAACCAAACAGATGTCAGGGGGAAGATCATAACATCTGCTTGAAGATTTCGAATAGGGTGCCCAAGCAGATGTTTGGGGGACAGATCGTAATGTTTTCTGAGTGACGGCCGAGCTTCTCTTACAGTCTCTTATCCCATATAAACAGATGAATAGTTGAGTAAAAGTCCAAAATAGTAAAGAAAATCTGATGATATTCACATACATCCTTAATCTACTCATTTGCGTACAAAAATGGACGTGTATAAGAATATAGGTGGCGCTTTGAGGTGTTACATGGCGCCCTCGCGTAGCGCCGAAACATCGTTCCTTTCTAAGTCAAGTAGGGTTTCAAGAAGTCTTAAAGATCATTCAAAATGTGTGCAAAGACGTCAGGGTGTGTTTTGGGAGGTTTTCACTGGCTATAAGCCTGTCGTTGTATATTTACGCATGTTTGAAAGTTGGGACTTAATACCCTAACAGAGCCCAACCTGCAGTACCGCTCCCGGCCGCATCCAGGAAAGTCACAAAGGAGACCGTCAAATTGCCAAATTTCGGTCTTTTCGGGAGTGGGGAAATCGCGAAAGACTCGCAAGGGGTTTTGAGCATTTTTGGTTGTTTTCATGTTAATTCAAGCAGTAAGACCATATAAAAACACACAGAAAGGTTCTTCTTAAGATAATCTATCTGGAAATATCATAAAAGTTTATATATGATCCGTTGTTCTTTGCCTTGAACAACACGAAGTCCTTACCTACAACACTACACAACTTTGGAACACTTTTCCGAAGTAAATCTTGTCATTTTGTGGTTTAAAACAATATGACGTTTGAATTCAGTGATATCAAAGTTGTCTAACGCGTAAATGTAGGCATTTTCTAAAACTGCGAACCGTACAAAAATATATATAACGTTGTAGTCTTGGACCGGGTAGATTGTTGCACTTCACAAACTATTCCGCTAGGAGCGTTATTATTCTAGTACTCCGGGGCCCGTCGGACGTATTACCATATGAATGAGAACCAAACAGATGTCAGGGGGAAGATCGTACCTTTAGCTTGAGGTAAGCTGCAATAAATAAGCAAAGTGACGGATAACGAAAATATCATGTCATGTAATTTGACATAAACTGGTCGTTGAGTTCGATAAAATGTGTGTACGGTAAGGCGTAAGTAAGTAAACCGATGTTAAAAAGTAACTGACAGGCCCAAACCCCCTGTCAATTTGAGTCTTCCCCGACATCTATGTTACCCCAAAGATTCTTATGTTATGAACTCAGTCACACATTTATAATCCCACTGGTTTCATTCCTTGTTTCACCTAACTGCCGCTTTAGCGGTCTCAAAAAAGCGCCCTCCAGTGATGGATAGTAGTATTACAGCTTGTGAAATGTGCGATCAGGCGCTGGTTAACGGTCTACAAAAAGCGCCCTCCAGTGGCAGATATCGGTACTTCAGCCATGAAACAAATAGTAACTGGCCTCGTTGATAACCGATGCTGTAGAGCTGTCTCCACAAATCAAGAACTAATCGTTCCAATTGTGGGAGAAATGCAGCTCCCCGCCATGGAACGGCCGTCTGATAAACTCCGGTGTCGATTTAAAGGTTGTTTGCCTTACAGTCAAAGAAAATTCCCTCTTGTAGTTATATATTTTCATTACATCAACAACAGCAGTTACTACTGCTAACAGAAACACGACAAATATCTGTCCTTATTTGGGCATAAACCATCTACTACTATTACGTCATAATTACGATGGTATCTACGATGATACCTTATTTGGGCATAAGCAACGTCCCAATACTACTGCATTGCTTATTCAAGTTGCTAGGTGTCGCTGTGAGACCGTCCGCTAGTGAGTACTAGTGACTTTGACATCTACATGCAGTGCTTTCCATCGCTGCTAGTCGTCGCTGTGAGACCGCTAACTTCTCTTTCACGGCGTAATTCCGTTGCGTTGCCCTGCATGCCCCAGAGGAAGACTAGTGTTTAAGCAAATGGAAAGATATCCTAGCAGACAGGAGTGCGCTGTGCCCGCTTGTGTTGGCGGTTCGACCCGCCCGGTTTTTCACAAGAAAAAGCCGCCGCGCGGAACACATTTCGGGTCTGCACTGCAAAAATACATTGAGAATTGTTAGAGAAACCCGATCACCACTCAATAATATTACAACCTTTCACCCCAATCTGCTTAGTGACTTTATCCGATATTTGATTTATACTGTGGCGGTCCAGAAGCTAGCTAAGCCATCTCACATCTGCTTGGTTTTCATTCATATGGTAATGAGATCGACAGCGAAAAACTCGCTTCTGCAAAGGATGTCACTTCTGCAAGCGATCAGCTGATCGCTAAATCACGTTTTGACATATAACTCGAGAATGAAGCAAATTTGATGGAGGGCATAACGTAGGAATAGAATGGAGACCACAAGCAGTATATCCTAAAAACAAGAAGGACAAAAAATGTTAAAAGTTGCATTTTTCTAAAATAAAAAAAAGCGGATATTCATCCCCTATCACACTCCCATTTTCGGGCTCCCGTTCCGAAAAGGTCCGTATCTCGCTAACGAAGCCTCGCTCATTCCCAGATTCGGCCATTTCGCGACTTGGGAAACGCGATGGGCTCTTATGGGGATTTTAATTCAGGTCTTTCCTGCTCTCGTTCTTGACATTGAGGCTCACCCAGACTACCTAAATATCACTTATTTGTCGGAACAGAATCCTGGTAGTCTTACATTTATTCATTTTGAGGCAAACATTCCTAGAACAGCTTGTACGAGTGGCTGAATATGGAGATTTTTTGTCAATATTTCAGTGTTCATTAAACCAATAATATCTGAAAATACCGTGTGAATTTATTTATTTATTTATTTATTTATTTAATCTTCAAAGACACCTGGGTAGCTCCTTCAGCCAATAGCTGATTTCCAAGGAGGCCCAGGAGGGGTACAATAAGTAAAAGAATAATAAATTATACAGAGTACATATCAAAAGATGTAAATGAAATCAATATAACTGGAAGTTATACATAAATAAATGAATTATACGAAGTTCAACATGAACTGAGGGAATTAACAAGAAAACATAACTTCAAATCATAATCATAATCAACATAAATCGTTTTCCGTTCAAAATGATTGGAGGTCAGAGGTCGTCTTTAAAGCTGCCTTGAAGTGTTTTAAAGTTTGAAACTGCCTTACTTCAGCTGGTAGTCTGTTGAAATACTTTGCACCCGTGTAAGCGAATGCTCGCTGACCAGTTGTGGTATTGTATTTTGGTAAGTGTAGTTTAGTAGTCTGTCTGGTGTGATATGTATGAAGATTATAATTGTGCAAAAAAGTTGAGGATAGGTATGTGGGCATCAAGCCATTCAGACATTTAAATACTGCTACACACACATGCTCAAATCTTCTTTCAGTCAGGTGTTTCCAGTTTAGCATCTGGTGGAGGCTGTCAGTGCTGCTCTCACGTAGTCTTCTTTGCAGCACTACTCTGGCAGCTCTGTTCTGTAGAATTTGAAGCTGCCTCTGCTTGAGGGCTCCACATCCCTCCCACACCGTGTCGCAATAGTCGAAGATGGGCAATATCATGGCTTTATACAGCATATCAGCAATGTTAAGGGTTAGGCAAGGTCTAAGGCGTTTCATTAGCCCAATTCTCTGTGCTACCTTGCCACAAACCTTGTCTACATGTTCATTAAATGATAGATTACAATCAAGATAAACACCAAGATATTTGAATGTTTGTACTCTCTCTATGATCTCCTGGTCAATGCAGAGTTTCAGAGAAGGTGCAAGTTTTAATCTATTGGCAGTACCAAATAGCATCCATTTAGTTTTGGATATGTTTAGCGTTAAACGGTTTGATTGGAACCACCTAGCTAGACCAGTAAGTTCAGAGTTGAGAGTTTGTTCGATGTGTTTTGCATTGTTGCTGGCACAGAAAATTGCTGTATCATCAGCATACAGACAGACTTTACATGCAGTGACAATATCAGGTAAGTCATTTATAAATATATTGAACAGCAAAGGGCCTAGTATAGACCCTTGGGGAACACCTAGAGTGACAGGTAGGTATTCTGATGTGCACCCGTTCAAAGAGACAACTTGTTGTCTCCCTGACAGGTAGTTTGCAAACCAATGGAATTCAGCACCTTGCACTCCCATCCAGGACAGCTTGTTTAACAGTAGTTTGTGGTCAACAGTGTCAAAAGCCTTCTTAAGGTCCAGATATACCACTCCCACCAGACTACCCCTATCCATGTTATGTAGTATATAGTCTTTAGCGTCTAATAGGGTTGATTCTGTAGAGTGCCCTTTTCTAAAACCAGACTGTTGGGTGGACAGAATACTGTGTTGGTGTAAATATTCAAGGAATTGTGTGTGTACTTCTCGTTCAAAAGCCTTCATAATAACAGGTAGTACAGAAATGGGCCTATAATTATTTGGATCTGTTGTCTCCCCCCCTTTATGTATAGGTGTGACCCTTGCTGTCTTCCAGTCTGCAGGTATATGGCTAGTAGAGAGAGACAAGTTGAAAATGTGAGTTAGAGGTTTGCATATGCTAGGTGCTGCTACCTGGAGAAGCCTTGCATGTATTTTGTCTAGACCAGTTGCTTTGTTTCTTTGCAAAGCTTTCAGTTTCTCATACACTGACAGTTCACTTACTTGTTTGAAGCTGAAAGTGGATGTCAGGTTTTTATATCTCTGAGGGCACTGTATGCGTAGGTTGGCAGATTGATTTTTAAAAGTCTCTGCCAATTTGTGGCCAATGGTAATAAAGAACTGGTTAAGGCAGTTTGCTATGTTTGAGAGATCAGTAATAAGATTCCCTCTCCATTGCAAGGATTTGGTAACTACTGTGGTCTTTCTAGGTAGCACTTCCTTAACTGTAGTCCAGAGTTTTTTGGAGTCTACCATATTCTCTTCCAGTTTTTGTTGACAGTAGTTGGCTTTGGCTAGTCTAACCTTCTTGTTTACAAGGTTGCGTTTAGACTTATAATCCTCCCAGTCTTTGTTATCACCAGTTCTGCGTGCCCTAGCTTTCATATCATCCCTGTTTTGCATCATCCTCTTTATGTCTGGAGTAAGCCATTTAGGCTGAGTGTCTTTAGTGCGTTTTGAAATGTAGGGGGCATGAATGTCACTGATTGTAATAAAAAGTGACTTAAACTTCGCCCACGCTTCCTCCACACTGGTGGCCTGGGTGACACAGTCCCAGTCTTGATCCCTGAGATCAGAGAGAAAGCTCTCCTCGTGGAAGTTTGTAAACTTACGAGAGGTCACATATCTAGTTGTTGATTTAGGGCGTTTCCCCTTTCTGATACAATATACTGCATAGTGATCTGACAGTGTACAGTGAACTACCCCCAGAGTCACTCAGCCTGTGTGTGTCACTACAATAAACATGGTCAATCAGACTACAAGAATGTTGGTTAACTCTGGTTGGTTTATCAATCACCTGCTGAAGCTGAAACTCTCGACTCAGGTTTGTAAGGGTTTTAGCTGCTGCACTGCTGGGCCCATTTAGGTCAACGTTGAAGTCGCCTAACAGGTAGAGCTCAGAGTCTGTATTGGACAGGCTCCACTTCTCTAGAGCAGTCCTCAACAGAGAGTAGAACTCCAAGGGGCTAGTGGGTGGTCTGTATATGGAAGCAACAGTGATGGGTTTAGTGAATGGTAAGTTAACTGTGCAGACAATTGCTTCAAGACCAGGCTGTTTCAGGTCTGGTCTTTCAGCATGGGTGTATACTTCTGACACATAAATAGCCACCCCTCCCCCCTTTCTGTTCCTGTCATTCCTGTATAGATGATAACCCGGTACATATAATTCGGAGTCCAGGATGGTGCTGTCCAGGTGGGTTTCACTGAGTGTCATGATATCAACCTTATTTGTAGTCATAAAAACAGATAATTGATCTAACTTGCTATATAGGCTGCAAATATTAAGATGTACAATAGTTAGTCCTTTGGACTGAGGTATCCTAGTACCGTTTTCAGATACTTCATCTACATTGTCTATATCAGAGTCACTACTGTTGCTAGTGCCAGGTGAAACAAAAAAGGTATCACTGAAGCAGGGAAGCAAACAGGAGTTACAGTACCAGTAATTGTCAGAATTTCCCAGTGTTTGATATTCATGGGTATCCATGTTAATACAGCTGATGTGATACCATTTGTCACATAAGTCACAGCAGATTCCTTTTTGATTTTTCCTCACACACTTATTACAAGTACCACAGGGGTCCTTAGGCCCAGGATTGATTGCAACATCACCTGACAAGATTAGTAGTGTATGACAACATAGATGTATGCAATTTACTGAAGTTTCTGCACTTTGTGTGTTCTTTTTCCTGACATTTCCAACAGATGGGAAGAGCATGTTGATTGCTTGGTCACGTGCGGTGACCGCATTAAAATAATTGCCATTTGTATA